CTGCGCCTGGGTCCAGTACTGGATTTGGGATTGGGCTTTCAGTTTGGATTGTCATCTGGGTTTGGGGTCTGGGGTATGCAAATGGGTCTGGGTCTGTGGCCGTACCCCTGCTCGCTCGCTCTCTCCCTCCCTCTCCATTCTGCCACAACTTTGGGTCTGGGTCGGGTTATGGGGTCCTGGTCTGGGTCTTGGTCTGGGGTGTGGGTGTGGGTGTGGGTGTGGGGTCCGGGTGCCAGTCTGCGGTCTACTCCTGGGTCCAGATCTGGGTTTGGGGTCTGGACTGTTGTCTGGGCTTGCGGTCTGGGGTCTGCGGATGTACTGACCACCCTTTCTTTCTCTTTGTCACACTCCCTCTCCATCTGCACTTGTGCTGACAAAGTAAGGGACCTGCCGTCAACAGTGGTTCAGAGAATGGACAGGGGAAACCCACGTCCAGAAATGAATCACCCAGCTTGCAGGCAAGGCTGCAGCAGGTCATCTAGTTCTGGGAGTCCATGTTACCTTTATCGCGTCCATGCTGTCACCATAGTTTTATTGCAGGCAATGCTGCAATAGGTCATCTAGTTGTGGGAGTACATGTTACCTTTATCGTTCCCATGTTTTTGCAATGAACCCACTTCGATTCAATGGCAAACTTCGACATGCATCACACCTAACATTCACAGACAGCTTACACAACACATGAGAGATGGCAATTAGCCTAAAGCATCAGAATGGCCGCTATCGCCGTCACACCAAAAATGTAACTGTCACTCAGATCTCTCACTCTCTCCCTCTTGCTTTCTCCCTCTTCTCTTGTATCTCTCCCTCTCACTCCCTCACTCTTAGTCCTTGGACTGCTCACACTCACTCTCTGAATACAGTCGCCACTGCCCTACTCCGTCTCTCTTTAACCCTATTTCAACCTTGCAGCTATGGCTGCTGTCTTCTTCCTCGTCAAGCCTAACTATATCACTCACTCGCCCCTCGCCTCCTTCGTCAACCAACTGTCCAGTCGCTCAGTCGCACATGCGCTACAGCATGGCTTCAGCAACATGCGAATTGACAAGTGACCGGATGAAGCACTAAAGCATCTATAGATAGAAGCTGAAGTGAATCGTTGTTGGCTCCTTCGTAGTACTGGTTAATGCGGCCTGTCGGCTGCAATTTGCCAGTTCCGGGACTGTGCCAGGATGCAGCTGCAAAAGTGGACCTCAGGACTGTAGAGTTTTATTGTCAGGTACTGGGCCTCTAACAATCCAAACTACCGGATCCTACAGACCTATGATGCTTTGGCCTCCAGGCCGTACCGGACTCTTAGGATGCTAGACTTGGGTCCTACCGGGGCCAACTGAACTGGGCACGGGTGGGACTTTGGGACCAGGACTTGGGACAGGGACAACACGTGAAATCCTTTCACTCCCAGCGGCCTAATTTCGAGGTCCACCGAGAAAACTTATCCCTTCACCAGTCTACAATATTCTCTCCTCTTCCAGCTCTTCATAGTACGGTACAATGTCGGGTGCTGTTTCCCTTAGTCCCTGGTGTACCAGCATTGATCTTCTGGTTCCTGATATTGGAGCCGGACCTTGTACTGTCTTTGCAGTCTTCCCCTCCTACCGGATCTGTAGACATCCTCGTCTACGAAGCGGTCAATGTCATATCTGCCATCCATAGGTGGTGGAATCGTGGATCTCCATGAGAGAAACTTATCATTTACAATGCATCGCAACAGCTATGCAATGAACACAGGGTAAGTGTGCAGATGGGCTGGAATATCAATCGTATAGGAGGGACGATCTGGGTCCCCCTTGACATCTAGGACTTCCCATTGCCCTCGATATGCGGGTAGCAGTTTTTGAGAATTTCCTTCTTCCGGCAAAGCTCTTTTGACATGACCCAGACAAGATCTGCGGCAGTGAACTGCAACGGCCTGCGATGCTTATTAGCTTGCTCTAATATCTGTTGCTGAGCCTTTCTGATCTTCTCTGCAACCTTGTGCAGGTCTTTCTCATATTGCGGTGAAAATTTTCTAGTGCTTGGTGGTAGCCTTTGAATCTGATCAGGGTGTAGACAATCAATAGGCCTCCTAGGGTGCAACTCATTCGGTGTGCGTGAGGTGGCAAGATGTACAGAGTTATTGTACACGCTGACTGACTACCTTGGGTAGTTGCTCCTCCCGATTGGCCTGGCCTAATATACATGTGTAACACTTGCTGTAGCAGTCTGTTCATCTGCTCTGTCTGTCCGTTAGTCTCTCCGCGTGTCGACCGGATGACATCGTCAGTTTCGACCCGTAGCCTTTCATTGACTGCTGCCAGTGTTCGACAGTGAATCTTTTTTTCTTCTTTCAAAGCAAGGTTCTGATCTATTCGTGAGGAGCAGGACGTGCAGGGAACCGGGCCCAGTGTCCCATACCATATTCATGCAGTACCGAGGTCATTACCCGGCTTCGTCTAATGCAAAAAAAACACAGATCAAGGTGAGAACAATGGCCTTAACGTCCGGCCACAGCGGTACAAAAACAGCAAATTCACTGAATCTATCTACAACAACCATAAGTTTCTCTTACCATTTCGGCTCTTGACATAAGTATCCCTGAAGTCGATGGGGACTGAATCCCTGGGACCAGACGGTATGGGCAACGATTTCAGCAGTCCTAACGGGGGCTGCATGGAACTCGTGTTCCACTATGGAACTCGTGTTCCACTGACAAACTTTGGAGCTGTGGAAATACGAAATGCAGTTGTGTTTCATTTCTATCCAGGTGTATACTCGAGGACTTTATGCAGGGCTTCCTTCGCTGTAGCAACGGCCTCACAAAGCCTGACAAAGGTAAGCAGCTTTAAAATTTTGTTGCAGCTAACTTCCCTCTTTGAGGTAAGTGATTATGGCTTCAAAGAAATCAGCCCTCCTACTCAAGGCATCTGCGGCAACATTATAATTCCCTTTGACTGGCTTAAACTCAAAGCCAAACGCGTCTATCTCCGTAGTCCATCTAGTTAGCTTAATCGGCGTATGGGCCTGTCTTCAACCAGCGAAGTGTCTCATGGTCCGAATATACTTTGAAATGCCTTCCTAACAGATGATGTCGCCAATATCCTAGGGCCTCCTTCAATGTGAACAACTCTCGTTCGTGGGTCAATGTGGTGACCTCCTCACTAGGCAGTCTCCTAGATATGAACTGTACGGGCCTGTGCCCATCTCTATCGTTCGTTTCCAGTCCAACACCAATGCCATACTGAATTGTGTCCGTAGTCACTATAAATGGCAAAGATGGATCGGCTATCTTTGGAACGAGGTACTCAATTAGACACGTTTTCAATTTCTTGAAAGCGGAGGTGCAGTCCTTGTCACACCGCCAAACTGTCTCCTTCTTCAATGGCCTACGTAATGGTGCACCGATGGTCGTAATCTTGCGAACGAACTTACGGTAATAATTAGCCAAACCTAGGAACGATCGCAGTTCCGTCAACATGCGTGACATTGGCCAGTCTCAAATGGCTGCAATCTTAGCATCCTCCGGTCTAACTCCATCCCCATCTACCACGTGTCGTAAGTACAGAGTATGGCGCTTGGCCCACTCACACTCCTTTGGGCTCAATCTGAACTTGCCTCTCGCGATTTACTCAAATTTGAGTGTAAGTGTTCCCGGTGTTCGTCAAGAATCTTGCTAAATACCAAAGTATCATCTAGATAGATTACAATAAAGCTATGTAACCATTCTTTAAAGTGAGCATCCATACATCTTTGGAAAGTGCCAGGGGCATTAGTCGGTCCCGATGGCATGACCATGAACTCATAGCTGTCGTAACACATCCTGCCGTCTTATGCTGATCGGATGTTCCTCTATCTCCCTCTTGCTTTCTCACTCTTCTCTTGTATATTTCCCTCTCGCTCTCTCACCCTCGGTCCTTGGACCGCTCACACTCACTCTTTGAAATCACTCACTGATGCCCCACTTCGCCTCTCTTCGACCCTACTTCAACCTTGCAGCTGTGGCTGCCATCTTCTTCCTCGCCAACCCTAACTATGGCGCTCGCTCACCCTTCGCCTACTTCATCAACCGACCATCCAGTCGCTCAGTCGCACAAGCGCTACAGCATGGCTTCCACAACATGCGAATTGACAAATGACCCGATGAAGCACTGTAGAATCTATAATTAGCAGCTGAAGTGAATCGTTCTCGGCTCTGGACCGGTACCGGTCGATGCGGCCTGTCGGCTGCAGTTTTCCAGTTCCAGAACTTACCGGACTTTCCCAGGATACTGCTGCAAAAGTGGACCTCTGGACTGCAGACGTTTCTTGTCGGGTACTGGGTCTACGACTTTTAACGACCCAAACTACTGGACCCTGCAGACCTACAACACTTCGGCTTCTAGGTTCTATCGGACTCCTAGGGCCCTGGACCTGGGACCTACCAAGGCCAACTTGTGGGCCCAAGTGGGACTCTGGGACCAGGATGCGGGACAGGGACAATGTGTGAAATCCTTTCATGTTCAAGGTCCTCCACGCTTTGGTCCCTCCCAATCTCTGTCCATCAATCGCATTTTCACTTCGTCCCAAGTGTTTCACTGGCAAGCCTTGGAGACTTGCCTCATGTGTCAGTCTTCTGTGATGAAAGAGCAATTATTATTGAGTGATACTCCCAATCAAGTGTGCATGAGTCTCAATCAAGCATGTGATGAGCAAGGAGGGAATTGTTTGAATTAAGCACACGAATCATAACACATTACTGATTTTGGACATGATGGTCAACCTGACATGATCTAATTAATACCAGTAGGAATCTGATTGTTTGTCCTGGATCACAGTCTGGTTGTATAGCTGGCAAGTTTTGACACACTACACTGTTCGTAATTGGTCTTTGTGCGTGATTGAGTTGTGCAACTTGTGATGCATAACTGTTTGTTTCGTTTTTCTCTTTTTAATCATTGTTTTGTTACTTGCGAGTTGCAACACATTGTCAATTAAACTAAATTTAATGGTTGGTGATTTTGCTATTTCTGGTGTGCGTGCAGTCGTCAATTGGCAACGCATTTGCTCATCAATCTTGGCAATGCCGAATTGATCAATAAAGTGCAGATCTCCACGTTTTTTGCAAAATTAGGTTAGTTCCTTTTTTTTGGAACCCCAGGGCGAAACCTATATCGCTTCTGGTCTCTTGGCATGCCCCCTTGTGCAATGATTCCATGATTTCACACTGCTTCTCAGAACCGAACATATTGATGCTTCAGCACACCAAGCCCCACACATGAGATGCAAACCAACACGACATGAGAACATTTTGTAAAATTGCTTGCAAATTCAGTGTCTTATTATACAATACAACATCTCAAGTATACACTTGGGCGGCTCTCACTGCCAAGTAACCTCAAACATGTATGGCTCGCTCTCCCTCAATCCCTATGTTACCTTTAGACCTCTCTATCTCTCTGCCTTGCTCGTCCTTGGATGCCTCTCTGTCTCTCTGTCTCAGTATGCAAAGCTTTGGCGCCAGGTGCATCGACTACTAATTGCTTCCAGCCTCACTCAATGCTTCCCTGCGTAAGACTGCATCGGCGCTTCCGCGACAGTCGGGAATGCCAATTTCTGTTATGCTTCACTCCCGCTGGACTGTTGTACTTTGCTGCAGTTCCCAATCTTGGACTCTTCCGGACTTGCAGCCTTCGACGCATTCGGAATTTTGACAGAATTTCTTGGGACAGGTGCAATTGGATGGAACAGACTAATGACTGACCGGACTGACTGTACTCCCGTAATGGATTTGGCCTGCTGGATTACCTAACGTACCGGACGTACTGTATGAACGGGTGTACGGGATCTACCAGGTGGGACTATGGTACAAGACCTCTGGGACTTTGGGACCGGATCTGGGGCTTAGATGCCGATACGCTGGAAAGCCTTTCACTTGCTTGGCGCACTTTCTCTACTTTGTTGGTTGAATTCTGCAAATGGACTTCATTATACTTTCTGCTTGCAGGCAAAATGTGGGTTCCTTAATCACAGGTACCTTGAGGGCATAAGACTCCTCCATGAAGTGAGAGTAATGGAAAGAGGAGCATTGAAGGGTAACTCCAATTTGATGGATGACACAATGGCCACTTGTCATGTTTCAGAATTCCATGAATATGAACGAGAGCAATAGACAGGAATCCAAGTTGCAAAATCATGAAGTAGTCCAGATAGTCATGTACCAAGCAGAGAGCACAATGCACCAAGATACCATCCAATTAAGATCAATACAATGAACTCGAGTGCCAATGCCGACGCTCTCTGGTCACACCAACACTATATCCAATGTCCCTCCTACTCTCTGCCGTCCAGCGCCCAGCCTACACTACTCAGCCTATCTATCCTATCTACGTTCATGCGACTGGATCACATCCCAGCCTACACTACTCAGCCTATCTATCCTATCTACGTTCATGCGACTGGATCACGTCGAAGTTGGAGACCAATGTACACGACGTCATCACCAATGCCGACCGGCAGCATACACCAGGTACGTTCTCTCTCCTCCCCTCATCACACCTTGATCCCCTCTGCATGCGCCTCCTACCCGAAGACCACCATCACCATCACCTGTACCACCCACACGCTCGGCCCCGTAATGGCCGCCGTGCGCCCTCTGCCACAGCAGCGCCCTCTCACCTCTTGGTGCCCATGTGCGCCCTGGCCAGCAGTGCTAGCGCAGCTGCTTGTACGACAACGCAGCAGCGTGGCCGCATTGGCTATACAGGCCAGAACGCCCTTGCCTGGGTAGGGCATTTTCCTTTATGGAAACTGCGGCCCTGTGTCTGGCTGTGTGGGCCTGGCTGGGGAAGTTTCCAGTAGCTTCCAGCGGGCCCCAGTATCTGCGCCCAGGCCCACCTCTGCTGTTATGGGCCTGGGCCCTTTACAGTTGGGCACGTCCAGGCAGCCGTCCATTCTCATTGGCCCGCGGAGGTTGTGTGACGACAATGCTGCTTTCTCATTCGTGTGCGGCCAGTGTGTGATGTGTCGGCCTCCCAATGTGTGTGCCCAGGGCGCAACCAACCGGGGCGCAGGGCTCAACTGTGCAGCGCAGCTGTTGCTTCTGGAAGCAGCCAGCAAAGGCTCACGTTGCTTTGTAACCTACTGGCGTGCTGCAACTGTCCGATACCCCACATATGGAAAAATGCCGAACAGAGGCCTCACGTGGATATTCAGGCCCACCTTCACTTAGGGCGGGCACAATGCTTGCTGGTGGCCACAGCCCAGAACAATTGCATGTCTGTAAGGGCCCGTGAGGGCTCAATCCTCGCATCATCATTAATCAAGATTCAATACTTAAACTACCAGTCCATCTGAGGCTATTTTGTCAAATCATAAGAAATAAACACAAAAAAACTGGCCTCGGCCACCCTGAAACGTTGCCCCTACCATGTCCCACTGACTTTGATACAAATATGTATTCAGTTAAATCAGTTTGGTGCGGATATTGTTTCGTGGGCGAAACCATTTTGTTTACTTCCCCCCCTGATGCAGCGAAACTTCACCTACATCCATGATTTTTCCCAGAATTTGTTGTCACCAGAAATCAGAATTAAAAATCAACAAAGTTGGGGCAACCTGAATTTTGCACATTCCCCTAGTATCCCCCTTGGGTCCCATAGGCCAAGCATTTCATTTTGCAAAGCGCATATGGCCGCGATTTTCTGAGAGGGAGGTCAGTACTAGTGGTTTAACAACAATGGAGAAGGATCAATGGTACTCATTCATCAGAGGCTTAATCGCTTCCAAGTTCCAATGCAATATCATCGAATATTAAAATAAAACCAGAATCCTCAACGGAAGCAGCAAATGACCATGCGCATACTTATGACCCAACTCCGCGGTGGGCCATGTGGTGGGGGGCACTGTGCTGTGTGCAGAATCGCGTTGCGCATGCTGGGCCGCGCACCACTGCCCTTGATCTAGTGCACAGGCGCAGTACTGTTTTTTCTTGGGGCGTGTGTTTGTTCTTGAAACACAGCATTTGAGAAACGGTCAAAATTTATTAAAAAAAAGGAAACCAAACGCCCTGTCATGTCATACAGTGCCATAGCACACATCGATGAGGGCATGGATGTGTGTGTGTGTGTGTGTGTTGTCATGATATGCAATAGCACCCACTGCCATCTTGCCCCAGTTCTAATCATGTGCCGTGTACCAGGCATCCATATCATCGTCGTAGCCCCATGCCATTCCTGCCCAGATGCCCAAACTTAGGGAACGAAGCTGTTCAGTGTAGTTCAGCCTCGAGTTAAACATGATCGTGTAATCCCTGGCACATACATGATAGCAAAGGAAGCGGTTCTCAGAGTCAGGAAAATGGTTTCCAACTTTCCGTTGATTCAGAAGATTTTTTTCGTAGGATAGGAGAAGGTAAAGAAGGGGTCGAGAGAGAGGGGGGGAGGGGGAGTGGGAGAGCAAGGGATTGAAGCGAGTGGGAGAGCATGGGCTTGAAGAGAGAGGGAGGAGACGAAAGGACATGGAGGCTCGCAATAGTCAGAGGTGTGGAGCCTCTACCAGGCTGAAAAGTATGACTGCTGTCAAGAAATTTCGGCAATCCGACGGAGTTTCTGGACTGTTCGACCCTCAAGACGGGCAAAGCATGCAATACCCCAGGTAGACCGAACATTCAAGAGTGCGACTGGGAGGAAGGTAAAGAAGGGGGCTGAGAGTGAGAGAGGGGGGTGGAGGCGAGAGTAGGAGAGCAAAGGATTGGAGAGAGAGAGGAGACAAAGAGAGGGGAGGAAGGTAAAAAGAA